TCGTCCCCCTAACCGGATAATTCTGTGTGCTATCATCTACGAAAGTTATCCATCTGATATCATGCTCATGATATTGCAACACAATGTGGTAGGTCACAATTACAGACAGAATTCAATGAGGTGCTTCTAATATGTTTGAATATCTCAAATTGTTTATGAAAATGTTTTTATGAAAAATGCCACTGAAACGATTTTTATATATGAGCAGGTAAACTAAATGAGTTTTCTTTAATCTCTTTCAACCACAGGATATAACACTATAGCTGAAACGGTCTCATCCTATCGATGGACGTCTGCGTGCGACCTGCCTCAACCAATTTACTTTTACTAACCATTCTGTTACTGCGAGTCGATGCAACCAGCAACAAAGTACATCCAGTTAACGATACTGCTCTGTCCGCTCAGTCAACAAGTGTCACCCTTCCACTTCGTGCGAACCAATCTATTTCCGCATGCATTTTGGATGTGACTCTAAGTGAGAATTTGAACGTGTTGACCATTTTCACCCGTTGGGTTACTCCGATTCTGTTCGGGCTGTTCCTTATTGTTGGTTCAGTCGGAAATCTGTTGGTGATAATTGTGGTCCTGGTGAACGCACAGATGAGGAACGCCACAAATATTCTCATTCTGTCGCTGGCGGTTGCCGATTTAGCATTTATTTTGATTTGCATTCCACTTACCACAGTCATTTACATTATGGGAGGATGGCCAATGGGGACAGCGCTTTGTCGAGTATATTTCTATCTGATGTACGTCACCGCCTACTGCAGTGTTTACACTTTGGTGCTGATGAGTTTGGATCGATTTTTGGCTGTCGTCTATCCAATCAAGAGCATTCACTGGCGTAATCAGACAAACACTATTCGGATTGTCCTTCTCACTTGGTTTGTGGTTCTCGCGACAAATTTACCTCTTCTTCTCGATGCTGTGGTGGTTCGAGGGCCAGCGGACGGTGGAGATAGCGCGTGTTATACACAGTATTGCACATACGCCTGGCTTGTAACTATCGATGAGGAAACGCAAACAGCGAGGGATAACTACGAGAAAGCTCGGCCATTTTTTCTCATCTTCTTCTTGTTTGGCTATATGATTCCTTTTGTGGGCATTTGTATTCTGTATATCAGTCTTATTTGTCGTCTTCGATGTCGTCCATCACCAAATATCAAGCAGTCGGCAGAATCCAAACGATCGAAGAAACGAGCCACATTGTTAGTGGTCACAGTTGTGGTCGTGTTCGGGATCAGTTGGCTTCCAATTCATATAGTATTTCTCATCCAGTACTACGTTGGTGATCCAAACACAGATTTTTTCCGAATATTGCAAATTTTGAGCAACTCACTGGCCTACGGAAACAGCAGTATCAACCCGATATTGTATGCATTTTTATCGGTAAATTTTCGCAAAGCATTTATCGATTTGTTAAATGGCAGTCGGAAACCCGCAACCACGAACACAAATGGAAATCCTCAGGCCTTGGAGGAGTTACGCCCCATCGCCTCCGAAATGCCTGTGATCGACAGTGATATGTCCAAGACAGTGATAATGGCTAGGGACGAAAATTAGTGGGATCAACATGCTGAAACGCAGTAGATTTTTGCTATTGCTTCAGGCAGATTTTCAGCCCCTCTGTTCCCTTGAAATTAGAACATCCAAAACAGAAAACAATCAAACTGAAATGCTGCTGTGCGCTTCACGTTTCTCACATGTCAATCTTGTGTATTTTTCTAATGCTCATGACGAAAAGTCCCAACATACAAAATGATTTTTGTTGTAATAGATTTACCGTTACTCTGGATGATGCTCTTTTTGAGAACAGATGTCTTCGAGAACCGAAATTTAGCTCTTTTTAGGAAAATCTGATTTACTATGGATTCACTTGATTGATCAGTTTTGGATGTGGTATCAAAGACACAGTGTTCACAGCGTTCAGTGGGTGAAAAATCAAAACCATACATGATTATTATCTGAAGCTGAAAAATGTTCCTTGCGACTAATTTTATAAACAAAAAATGTTTGTAAAAATTAAAATATTAATTTACAACTGGTTGATCAAAAATGTTTTCTAGACCGATGCAGGGGAGAAAGAACATCAGATGAATTTAGTTATTGTAGACACACACCACATATGGTTGGAATGGCTCAGAAACCAATCATGACCCAATTTGTGACACAGTGTCTAATTTGATGCCTACCGATGAGAACAACTTTGTTCATAGCTTACAAGCGCGAAGAAACAAAGCGAATTCCAAACCGGCTCTTCATTCGCATGATCGTCATAGCGCACATCTTTTGCTGAGATCAAGAACAAAGCGTTGGAAAATTGGCATCCCAAATGATTCCCATCTGCTTCAGGCATGTATGTGCTGAGACATAATTGGAGCCATTCATGTTGATCAGCCTAATGAGCTATTTAAGACGGAAGGTAACAGGGAAAGGGTGGTGGAGCAGATATCACAATTGCCCGACCACTTCTGCTCCGTAATCTGCATAATCTTCCTTGCCATATCAGAAATAGTCAAGAATCGGGTCCGGAGGGTAAGCATGCAACCACAGGTGTTGTGATTCATTTGCCACAATAAGTCTACTCGTACAAATTTTACTTCCCCAAAATTGTAATAAAGGCGAAATGCTTGCAGCGGGCGATGGCATTACTCGCTAGGTTATCCGACCAATAATGCTCGATGCTCTACCGTAGTTTAACAGATATATTTCGGTATCCGTCCTCGTAGAATGTCGCATCTGAATTAAAATCTAACCGTGTATTGATTAATCCAAGTTACGTATCAACGTCATGTAAACACGAATTCGTCCATTCATTGATTATTCCTATGATTATTGGTGTTTATTATCCACTGAACTGGCGCATAAAACAAAACAAAGTAGACCAGTATCGGCTTGGCCCTAACTGTGCACTACTTTCAAATATAAAATTTTCTGGTATTACATACCATTTAAACTCCGAAAACAAAGGCGGAGTTCAACCAAAATCACTGAGAACAAAGGATTATCTCAGAATAATCGCGGCTGAGATGGCTTGTATCATTTGGGAGATGTTGTGCAGAAAGAATTCACAATAATTCCTGGAAGATGACAGTAAATCTGATTATGGAAAGGATAATAATCTGTCTGTGTGAAACGATGTTTTTATGTTACCACTTTGGTAATTGGCAATCAGTATGTTGGTTGTATTATCAGATAATCAGTTAGGTGACTAGCAACACCCAAAATCCGTATTACTGTTGGAAAAGCATTGACAAAAATAAGTTAAAAGAATTTTGCCTTTCTTATCCTGTGTTTTGTTTTCCAGCATGTGCCAGAATTTTGGCAAAAATCGAATAGGTGATTTAGGAATTGTGCACGGTTTCGTGAACGTTTAATCACATTCACATACTTTGAAATGGAATCGAATAGAATGCAAAGTATAGTGAAATGTTTGGTCTGGATGCTATCTATTATACACATTAAAAAACAGTTTATACTTAACTGCTTCCTTGCGACTTATTGACTCATTGAGTAAAGATTCGTTGAATATTTGAACCCACACTTTTAGTAGGAGAACTCAGTGAGGCAATCTACGAATCCGGGTGTTACGTGCAAAATGCACTTTTCATTGTTATTAGCATCAGTCTCCGCATAGTTAGATTTCGTGATGTTAAAACTGTAATAGAAGAGTGTTCGTGTCAGAAACATTTGAGCAAACGGTTACCTCATGGATCCCGTTGACGTGGCATTTTAACATCCGCTTTGGAAATAAGTTTCTCAATTTTTGTTTAGGGGAACCTTTGATCAGCCGCCTTTCGCTTTCAGTTGACCTTTTGCAAATAAAGAAAGATAATGTTAGCGCCACCATTATTACTTTCATAGTTTTTAGCTCTTTTATTCAAAACACTCCCAATGAAGAAATTTGGTTTTACATTCATTTATGACCGGAAATAATGTATTCCTTGTTCCGTTTGAGTTGGACTCACAATTACCAAGTGACCTTATTTGGATCATGAGTTTGCCAATGCAAAAACGGTTAGTTAATGAACTAGTGTGCATTTGATAAAGCACGTTCCCATTTCGTGCATGGTACCACAATTCATCAAAACAAGTAGAACGAGCAAAATAATTATGTTCATTTTCCGTGTTTTCCGTCTATGCAACAATTAGTCTGACAAAAAGCTAGACTCAGATAATAGTAACTAGGTGACTGAATGGGATGATTAAATATCCCGATATGAATAGCCAGCCACAACAGATGGAGGTTCAATAATAAACATGTCATCATCTGTCTGGAAGCTACGGGGCAGGTTGCACTATGCAAACGTGTGAGCACTTGTTCGAACTGCGTGATACTGAAAAGCGGGGGTGAAAATTGATACCGGGGGTTGAGGGCACATGTGAATATTCTTCTTCAGAGCTACCTTCTCGGCCCCACCCAACCCCACCCCCACTTGTGGCTATTGTCGAGGTGTCGTAATGACAGGAAAACAAGCACGTTTTCTAAATTGTGATCTCAGTCGTTTGCATAACCTCAAAGCTAACAGACAGTGATGGGTTAGCTGTTAAACAATGTAGCTTTTCTGGCCCCATGTTATTCAGTCATCCATTCGTGCCTTTGTTATCTTGGTCTCTGTTTCAACACCGAATGGTACAATGAGAGAACGGAAATTGACATAAGTGTATTCAATTCTTAGTTTAGAATGGGTCGATTCAGTTTCAATGAGTGTCTTTTTCATTTCTGGGCAGGAAAATACCTGAGAATTTTGGTTGAGAATATTTGTTGTTATCCGACTGATGACATGTTCTCAGACACAATGTGCACCCGTGGTATTAATTCAAGCTAACCAAAGAATGATGAAACAGTATATGTTTGAATATCCAAATAAATGTGGGAATCATAGTCTAGTGTAACGGAAAATGAA